TCTCTCTCTCTCTCTCTCTCTCTCTCTCTCTCTCTCTCTCTCTCTCTCTCTCTCTCTTCCTACCTTCCTAGGTCTACTCCTGGGTTCTCCTACGAGACTACTACGAGTATGCAGGATGGTTACGAGTTCTGATGATATTGGAGACAGCGACATTGAGACTGTAGGTTGAGGACTACTCCTGGGATCTGATTTCGTTTTCCTCTAAAGAAGTACCTTGATATTGTGAGATCGATATCTGAGACACTGTGAGACTCTATGTTTGCGACATTTCGGATTTGCGCTACTCTTGACATTTCAGGATACTATCTTTGGAAATGTTGAGTTGACATCATCTTCCCTCTCCTCCTCCCTTCGTCCCTCCTCCCCCCATTCATCCGTGTATGAGCATTGCCCCCGACCTCTTCTTCTAGGTTCAAGGCCAGGGCTTCACACCACCGATGCATGTTTGTGAGTGTTTCGTTGCAGTCCGAGTCAGGTTCGAGTCAATCCATGTACCTCGAGTCTTCCGCTGTATTTGTATTTACTTTGTAGTATCTGGTCGGTTCTGGGAATCTGCGCCATACTTATAACTGTGTTTCACGAGTATGCAACACTGTCCAGGTCAGGTCAGTCCCGGTCAGGTCAGGACTTGTATCTAACTCTTTGCGAGGCACAAGGCCTCGATATGCCCTACTGGGCCCTATCTACAACTTAGTCGGCCGCCCTAAGTGAAGGCAGGCTCGACCGAGGCCTACAGGCCTATTTTGGGGTCACCATGCAACTGGGGAAATTCAGGCAGTTGAGCAACGCCAGTTGGTTGAAAGCGCCCAGGCCCTGGCCTCCATTATCAAATGCATCTGAGTCAGGCCCAGGGCGAGATATGCAGCATGGACCCAACTCCAACTGTAGGCAGTTGGGCACGGATAACTGTCACAAGCCCTGGGCCGATTCAATTGGACTGGGGCTCAGCCTCTGTGGGCCTACCGGAAGCTTCTGGGCAGGGGCCCAGCGCAGCCAGGCTGGACGCAAAAGTCACTGCCTCCCAACTGGAAAGCGAAGGGACACATCATGTTTGTCGACAACGATGGTTCCACTATCGAGTTGGACGACGACTTCCAGGCGGGAGCGGGTTCAAAGGCTGGCAGCGTAGAAGCATAGCAGTCCACAGTACGAAAGCTACTCGGTTGCAATCGCAGAGGTGAACCAGCCGAGGGCGTTTCTCGTTCGCTGTAGCATAGGGGGTACGCGCGGTAATACGCCTATCGGGCCTGCACGCGAACCGACATCTTGGGGGGCTGAAGTCCCAAGCGCGGCCCGACGTCGGTCGACTAGGACGCATCCCACACACCACACGCACACCACTTTACGAACACAAAAATAAAACGCACACACACGCACATACAACACGACACAACACAAACAACGCGACAACGCTCCTAGCCCCTCGGTAACCAACCCATAACTTTTCGATGCGAAAGTCAAATGGGCGTCGCGCGCGAGGCTTAGTATAAAATCGCGCGGACGCAGGGCCTACTCATATCGACTAGCAATGCAAACGTACGCAAGCAGTTGCAATGATGGCGTACCATGTGGTACCCATACTCGCGCGGCCCTCGTTAATCTCGAGGGTCGCGTTCGACACTCAAGTGTTGGCTGACACGCGCCTTGAGGGTTAATCTCTCGACGCCGGACAACCGCCATGCGCGGTTGAAGACCACACACCCTCTTCTGCACTCTGTGCAGAGCGGGTGGTACACAGTTCCATACCTGTGGTGGCAGTCGTCTCTTGCGGCCCTGGGGATGAGTCCTACCCCAGGCCTGGGCAAAAGTCAAGGGGTTTGACTTTGACGGCTGCCACGGACTACAACGTCCAACCACACAAACTCTAAAAAACAAAGAATAAAAGGGGATCTCCCTTCTCTCTCAAGGCGTAATCCGGTTAACCCTTATGCACAATTACAGTAGGCCTCTCAAATACTCAGGGCACTTATAAATATATAAGGGTTAGTTATATAGGACGATCACTTCTCACAGTCACAGTGGGCTCCTCTCAACCATATATGTATGTAATCGCAGGCAATCACATCCAGAGTCTGAACCACAAACGCACCTGCAATCACATCAAAGATTCATCCAGAAGTCCACGCACTACACGGGGTCAACTTCAACCATTCCTTGCACTCATACCCCTCGCTTTAGCCATACAAGCCTCACTCGTGCAACTCTTAATTAAATAATCAGTACTTTTGTTGGATGACCATTCAATAAAGTCCGGGTGAAAACACAATAAAACAGTTCAATCACAAGGCTAAAGCCTTTAGGTTGAGTGGCATGAGTGAATTGGAGTTGAATCGTAAACCGACGAATCGGCAATCGACCTGTTATCAGTGATAACACATGATGATCCTCGTAGGATCAAGCTGAATCTAGTCCAGATCCTGAATCAAACGGTCAAGAGGACATGTAACACATGACAGGTCAATCCCCAGGCTAAGGTCATAAGTGTATGGAGAGTACAACTCCATAACACATTCTCACCCAAGATCCTTCTAATTGACTAAACCTGAATCTACCTTTAAGCAGTGCCCAAAGCAAAGGTAGACCCTGGCATGATCTCCCCTATACAGAGTGGATTGCCAGAATCGCCACTTGTCAAAATATAATCTCTCTCT